ATTTTACGGATTTCTACCTGGTCTTTTTGTATAGTTTCTAATTTTCTATTTCTTTTGTCAATTTGTTCTTGTATAATTTTAAAAATTTTACTAAACTTTTTGTTTTCCTTAATTTTGTCTGTGATTTCCTTGAACTTTCTCTTGATCTGTTGAAGGTACATGAATGTAATTCTTTTGAATTCCTTATCAGGTCGTTCCAACAGCATTTCTTACTCTGGAAGATTTTGAAGCCCTGTGTTTTGGCCACTTGTTTGAGCCACCTTGTCCTGGTTTCTGTGTGATCTTACATTGTTCATTGTCTCTGAGACATTATGGTATTATTATATTAATTTGTTGATTTATGTTGGTTTGCTTCACCCTGATTTTTTTTTGTTTGCTTGTTTTAATATATCCAGGAAACAGGGTGGGCATATTATCATCATTAGTTTGGCAGCACTGGGACACTCACTTATCTCTGGGTGGATTTGTTAGTTGGTGGGAGTGTGGGTGTAGTTCTCAGATCACTGATTGTGCAGAGTAGCTGAGGGCATGCTGGGCACATGTTGGCTGCCATCCTTCATTGATCTAGTGGTGCTGGAGAAGGTTGTGGCACTTACGTAGTGGGTTGAGTGGCAGATGTGATGGGTATGACTGAGATACTGCCTCCTTGCTACTGGGGAAAGAGAAAGGAAAAAAAAAAAAAAGAATGTTGTGGTAGTGGAAGAAAAACAAGGGAGGAGACGAAGGAAGACCTGGGAATAAAGAAAAAGAATAAAAAGAAAAAAGAGAGACACAAAAAAGAGAAACACACAAACAAAAACCCCTCAAATGGAGCACAGTACTGGTGTAAGTGCTAGGTGCTATACACGACTGCGGCAGAAATGCGCTGCTTGCTCTGCAGGAGAGTGCATCACTGAATACAAATGGCTAGGGATGCGAGCTTCTTAAAATGGAGGTGCTGGTGGGTGGGGTACCCACTCAGCCAGATGAAAACAAGTGTTGAAAAACAAGGGTAGGAGGAAGAGGGAAGAAATGAGAAAGGAAAACAAGAAAAAAGAGAAAAAACAAAAAGTGGTGCTGATATTAGTCTCCAAATACAAATGCAGCAGGAATGCAGAGCTCACTCTGGAGGAGTGGGTATCATTGTTGACACAGGTTTGAGGATGAGTGTTGCTGACTGCAGGTGTGGTGAGGCTCCTGCTCTGGATGAGCAAATAAAAGGAGAGGGTGGAATAGGGGGAGAAAAGCAAAGAAAGATGATAAAAACAAGGCAGGTGAGAGAGGACCAATCAGAATGGGGGAAAAAAAAGGAAATAATATTTTTTAAAAAAGCTGTATAGTACTTGCAGAAGTGCTAGTCCACAGACACAGGTGTGCAGGAATGCAGGGCCCATTCTGTAGGAGTGCACATCTCCAGTGGGGTGGGGGTGGGGGCAGGCACTATTAACTGTGTGGGCAGAGGAGGGAGGGGCATCTGGTTTGCATGATCAAAAATAATTGTCAAAGGGCAGGGGAACAGGAAGAAAAAAGAAAGGAAAAGAAAAAGAGGTGAGGAGAGAGAAGTACAAAGAATAAAGATAAAGGGGGAAAAATGTAGCTCTGGCAATGTTGATGGGGGTTTACCAGCTGCCAGTGGGTGGGGGTAGGCAGAGTCATGCCTCTGTTAATCACAAGGTTGTGCAATATAAGTGGAAAGTCACACCTCTCTGGTCTCCATTGTGGATGCTCGTGCAGTCTTTGACAAGCAGAGCCTGTTGTCTGGTACCTGGTCCAGTTGGACGCTGCTTGCAGTAATTCAAAATGTCTTTGCTGTGTCAATTGGCAGTTACTGCTCCTCGTACACTGGTTTCTTTCAGTCTCTTCCTCTCATTGGTATTTGATCTACTTCTTTATCCTTTCCTTTGAAGCTCTGGGTTCCAGCATTGTCATCCGTATCCATTTCACTTAGTTTCTGAAGTCTTTGTTGTAGAGGGTCTGGATAATGTATCTGCCTGGCCCAGCATCTTGGATCTTCCTTCAAGTTAATATTTTTTTCTATGCTCGTCTTATACACAACTGTTTATTTTGATAATATATTTGTAGTTTTTGAAGTGATTCTCATTGATTTTCTAGGTGGTCTTATTGACTGGAAATAGTGATAATATTTTTTTTTTTCCGTTTTCTATACTTGTTATTCCTTTTTCTTATTGCTTAGTCTATGCATCTAATATCATGTTATATTTTAGTAATCATAGTCCCCCTCCCCAAATTTGACTTTGGGTTTCTAGTAAATCCCTTTGCAAGATGGAGGAAGTATCCTCCTGGTTCCAGTTTACTGATGGGGTTTTATAAGGAACAGGTGTTGAATTTTTAAAAAAACTTTTTTTTTTTTAGCATTTATTAATATACTCATGTATTCTTTCCTCCTGTTCATTACATCTGTAAATGTGCTGAATTATGTTAAAATATGTATTTTAATATTGAACTCTACTGGCATTTCTACCTGAAAAAATGATATTCTCTAAACGTAGTTGTGGTATAGTAAATTACATAGTGTGGCTTTTCTACCCATAAGCCTTTGTGAACTCCAAGGTGGGATTTTTTTTATGGGCAACTGAGGAGCTCCTGATTGCTGAAGGTGTCCACCTGGAGTATTTCTGTTGGGAGTGGCACAAAACAATGTTCTGGGAGGTGCCCACTCTCTCTCAGGTGCTTAGAGTTCTGATGCTATGATTGGCTAGTTTGACCACCCTACCGGGCTCAAAAGGAGGCCTCCTAGGGTCAGAACTCTCTCTGACTGCTGGTTGAGGAAGACGTGCTGCTGAAAGAGACACACTCCTGAAAGAGACACGTGCTGCTGGGAAAGAGACACAAGAGACATGCATTGCTGAGTGAGACACTGAGGGACCAGCACTGCTGGGAAAGAGACTGTAAGAGACTGTTGGCTGAGGGATAGTGGGCTGGGAGAGAGACTGAGCATTTTTCCTGAACTTGAATTGTAGCCTGTGATGCTTCCCTAATAAACCCCATAATCTGTGAGCGCTGTGTGGCCACTGCAGCGAATTATCGAACCCAGGAGAGAGGTGGTGGTGCTTTGGGAGGATCGGTTGGAGAAAGGGCTGGAGGGAGGCAGCATGTCTGGCCTTGCAGTAATAGGCCTTGGATTACTGCTGGTAATCCTGTCTTCCTCTTGTGGGATTAGAGGAGGTCAGAACATGTGGCCTCCTTGCCGTTTTTGCAGTAGTATAACCCAGTATACTACTGTGTTCAATTTGCTAATTCTTTAAGGTTTTTATATCTTTGTTTCTAAGTCAACTTGCCTGGCCCTAGTTTTGATTGACTGGGCAGCTGAATGTAGTTACTCCGCATGATGAGACTGGCAATCAGCTCCATGGTGGAATCTCCAGTGAGCAGCTCAGGAGCTGCCTTAGGGAGGTGGTCTGTTTCCAGTAAATAAGAAGCTTTGAGGAAGGTCTCTAGCTTTTGGCATGCTTGCATCCTGCATGTAGCTAGCTGAGTTATTGTTCAGCAGCCTGCCATGTTTTCTGCCAATCTTGGGACTGTTAATGGACTTGAATTAGTGGCTTGCTAGGTTAACTTGATAATTTACGGACTGTGCCACTTTATCTGTCAGCCTTGGGCTTGTCAGCCTCCGCAGCCAGCAGCTGCCTCAGTTAAGAGAGGCCTCCAGCTCCAGTGGGTTGGGAGCAAGAGGCAGAGCTGAAGCCCAAGGTCGAGGGGCTTTTACCCAGTCCAAGGTGCTGGCACTTTGAACTCGGCCTTCTAGCCTCCTAAAATGTAAGAGAATAAATCCCTGTTAACAAAATCCCTGTTCGTTAAAGCCACCCATTTAGGTATTTCTGTTAGAGCATTTCTGTTAGAGGCAAGTCGTTCACATGCTTAGTTGCTAACCAGAAGATTGGAAGTTAAAGTCTGCGTAGATGGCTTGGAAGAAAGCTCTGGCAATGTCTTTCTGAAAAATGAGCCATGAATTCCTATCTTTATGCAGTGCAGTTTGGAATAGACTTGATGGCAACTGGTTTATTTCTAACTCAGTGGCTGTTGCTGGTATATTAGAAAGTTATTATTATTATTATTATTATTATTTTTACATGTTAGTCTCTTCTCCAAGCATTTTAAAAAAATCAATCACATGGTTAGTTATCACAGTTACACCTCCTTGTAAAATGAGATGAGAAGTTTTCAATCGATTTCTGTGATATTGAACCTTTAACACAGAAATGTCTATTTCTTGAAGTAGCTCTGCTTACAGGCATGAAGAAGGTAACTTTTTCACAGCTCTGTGGATTCTGAGCAGCATTGCCCTCTTTCTCTATTCCCAGGGATGCACATATCCTGTGGATAAATGTACCCTTTCCCTGGAGATCCTCAAAGAGATGTGCATTTGTGGTTGAGGCCTCAGGCCCCCCAGCAGAGAAAGCCTTCTTTGCTGTTGGTCCTTGGCTCCTGACTCAGAAGTACTCTTTAGTCTCCAGTAGTAGTTTTATTCTGCTTGTGTGACTGCTCCAGAAATGCATTGGTAGGGCAAGGGATTCAGAAATGTGGCTTGGGCTGCAGTCTTCTCAGAAACATCCTCCTGTTGTTATGGATTTAATTCTGTTTGTACATACATGTCCCAGTCTTTTGTGAGATTTGGGGCAAGAGAGAGGGGAAATGTGTGTGTTCAGTCTGCCATCTTCATTGTAGAATGCTGAAAATAATTTGTTTGCGATAATAACAAAAGATGGTAAAGTTGTAAAATAATTTACTTAAAAATAATTAGCAAGAATTCACTGGTGGTCTTACGTTACAATAACTTTTACTTACAGTAGAGAGAAAGGTAGTTCCTGATATTTTGGGAATTGTTATGTTTAAAAGATCTGAAAAGTGCTAACATATATATAATAGTGAAGTCAGTGGAAAAATATGATTATATTTATAAACAACTATTTTTAAGAAGATAACTGCATTATACCTGTGTTCTGTTAGGCTTTATAGGACAATTAGAAATTGATCTCTCTTTGGATTTAAATTTATTTCAGAATCTTGACAAAACTTCTGGAAGTGTCAGATGATCCACAAGTTTTAGCTGTTGCTGCTCATGATGTTGGAGAATATGTGCGGCATTATCCACGAGGCAAGCGGTATGAAATCATTAATTTGGTTTTCGGAAACCTTCAACATGAAATCCTAGCTAATGTATTTATCTAAAGTAGCACAGGAACGTATGAAATAATTGAAATGAAGATTATCATAATATTGGGAATTATAGTAATCCTAATTAAAAATGAGTAGTATAAAAATGTAAGTATACTTATATAATCTACTGTGTATTAGCCAATAGAGATCATATTGAGAATTTCATATTAAAAATTCTCTTTGGTTTATATAGTTTAACTCGATAGCCATTTTGTGAGCACTGGTTATTTTTCAATTACCATTTGAAATCTACTTAATGGCACACAAAAATAACAACTGACCTCATAAGTTCAAAATATAGAAGCCAATATAACACCTGGGAAGAAAAGTGAAGGTAGATGTATAGTGACATAGTAATGGAATTATGTATCTGGCAGTATTGAGAGAAAGGAATTTGGTGTGGGAGGAAACAAGTGAGGCCTTATAGAGGAAATGATGCTGGATATATAATTTAAAATGACTTAGGCCATTAACATTGAAAAGGCAGAGATATTTTGCAGAAATAGGAAATGAAAAGTGCCAATATTATGTGAAGGGAGAAAACATTAAATGTGAGAAAAGGGTTATTGTATGTTATTTGGAATAGCCCCTTTCTCCTATTTAATGTTTATTGACTCTGCAAAGGTATTTGACTCTCTGGATCATAATATACTGTAGATAACATTGTGAAGAATGGAAATTCAGAGTACTTAATTCTCTTCATGAGGAACGTGTACATAGAACAAGAGGCAGTTGTTCAAACAGAACAAGTGGATACTGCACAGTTTAAAATCAGGAAAGATGTGTTTCAGGTTTGTATCCTTTCAACATAGTTATTCAATCTGTATGCTGAGCAAATAATTCAAGAAGCTGGACTATATGAAGAAGAACTCTGCATCAGGATTGGAGGAAGATTCATTAACAACCTGTGATGTGCAGATAACACAACTTGCTTGCTAAAAGGTGAAGAATACTTGAAGCACTTACTGATGAAATTAAAAACTACAGTCTTCTGTATAGATTGCACCTCAACATAAAGAAAACAAAATTCTCTATAACTGGAACAATAAGCAACATCATGATAAATGGAGAAGAGAGAAATTGTCAAGGGTTTCATTTTATTTGGATCTACAGTTAGTTAATGCCTATGAAAATAGCAGTCAGGAAATCAAATGATATATTACTTTGGACAAATTTGTTTGAGAAAATTTATTTAAAGTGTCAAAAAGCAAAGATAGCATTTTCAAGACTAAGGTATGCCTGACCCCACACCACTGTCTTTTTAGTGGCCTTGTATGCATATGAGATCTAGAGCAATAAATGTTGAAGACCACAGAAGAATTGATGGCTTTGAATTACGATGTTGGCAAAGAATACTAAATATACTGTGGACTGGCAGAAGAATGAACAAATTTATGTTGGCAGAAGTACAGCCCAGATTTTCTTTAGAAGTGAGAATGTACTTTGGCCATCTTCTGAGGAGAGACTAGTCCCTGGACAAGGATATCATGCTTCGTAGAGGGTCAGCAAAAAAGGGGAAGACCTTCAACAAGATGGATTGACACAGTGACTACAACAGTGGGCTCAAACATAGCAATGATTGTGAGGATGGCACAGGACTGAGCAGTGTTTTCATATTGTGTGTGGGGTCTCTGTGAGTCAAAACTGAATTTATGGCACCTAACAAGAGCAGTGTTATTTGGAAAAATAGAAATGTGTAGTACTGTGATTGAGTTGTTGCTATTCTACTTGCTAACTAGTTTCCTAATCTGTAAGATGAGAATGGTAATACTGTTCCTTCCTCATGAAGTTGATGTTAATATTAAATGAGTTAATCCAGATACAGAGCTCAGAACAGTGCCAGTAGGTACATAGTAAGTACTCAATAAATATTGGATGCATTAATTAATTAATAATAACATTAATAACAATTATATTATTATATTATTATATATTTGTCAATGCCGTCTATAAGGAAGACCTTCAACAGTCTTTATCTTATTTATTAAATAGCAGTATCAAAATGTAGAGACCCAGAACTTCCTAAAAGATTAAAAACTGACAGAGCCAAAGTTGTAGTTGTAGACTTGACTATTCTAGAATGTTACAAGAAGACTTCTTTGCCCTTATTGTATATAAGTATTTAAACGTGATAAAACATCATGTAAATGATTAGCTGGCTATCCATCCCTTTAAGCAGAGAAATTACCTTTCCCTTTCAAGTGTCTGTGATACATATTATTTTTTATCTTTATCTTGTTTCTCTATCTGATTTATAGTATCTCAGGTTGCTTTGTGGACTTTGGTAACCCTACTACAAAACAGAGTTTCATCTGTACCTGAATTTGTCAGTGCTATGGAATACCAATGCTCAGTCATGGGTATTGAACACTGCTATATGGAGAACTAGGCTTAGAGTAGAAGTGAGGTAAGATACAACCCACTTTTGGGTTCATATACAGAGAGGAGAGGTTGTAATTTAGATCCCTTGGGAATAAAGGGGAACTTTTCTCTTGTGTTTCTTCTGGGTTGAAATAATGTCCTGTGAATATCTCAGAACTCAACAAGATGGGTTACTATGACTAAACTTGACAAATGCAATTTGGTAGTCTCTGGGTATAGAAGGTAGGTCTGCCCCACAATTTGAGCTCCACTTGAGGATTAATGAGAGGTGTTTCTAATGGAAGAAACATTAGAAAAGTGGCATATAGGAAAGTACTCAGGATATTGGTACATATCTAAGGATAATGTAAATGCAACCGCTGCCATGGAGTCGGACCTGACTCATAGCGACCCCTTCTTGGGTTTCCGAGGCAGTATCACTATGGAAGTAGATTGCCCAACCTTCCTTCTGAGGAGTGGCTGGTGGGTTTGAACCATCAGCCTTCTGGTTAGCAGTCAAATGCCTTAGGCACTATGTCACAAGGGCTCCTAAGGATAGTGGAAAATTATTTAAGATATCTAAATAATCACTTAACTGTGCTCATGTGGAACCTGTACATGGATCAAGAGGCCTAGTTATTCAAATAGAACAAGGGGATAGTGTGTGGTTTGTGACAGAGTTGTATCCTTTCACCTAATTTATTCAATCTGTATACTGAACAAATAATCCAAAAACCTGGGCTATATGAAAAAGAACATCAGCATTGAAGGAAGACTCATTAACAATCTGTGATATTCAATGATATAACTTTGCTTGCCAAAAATGAAGAAGACTTGAAGCACTTACTGATGAAGGTAAAAGATGACAGCCTTCAGTATCTGAATGTGAAGAAAATGAAAATTCTCAAAAGTAGGTCAATAAACAACATCATGGTAAATGGAGAAAAAATTGAAGTTGTCAAGGATTTTATTCTACTTAGATCAATAATCAGTGTTCATGGACATAGCAGTCAAAAACTCAAATGATAGATTTTATTGGGGAAATCTCCAAATGGCCTCTTTAAAGTTTTGGAAAGCAAAAGATGTCACTTTGATGACCAAGGTGTTTCTCACCAAACCATGGCCTTTATAATTGCCCCATATGTACATGAAAGCTAGATAGTGAAAAAGGAAGACAGTAGCAGAATTAATGTATTTGAAATTGTGGTGTTGGTGAATTATGTTGAATATACTCTAGACTGCCAAAAGAGGGGACAAATCAGTCTTAGAAGATACAACTAAAATATTCCTTAGAAGCAAGGATGACAAGACATCACTTGCTTGCTTGGACACTTCATCAGGAAAGACCAATCACCAGAAAAGGACATCATGTTTGGTGAAGTAGAGAGTCACGGGAAACCCTCAGTGAGGTGGAATGACACAATAGCCACCACAGTGAGCTCAAACATAATCATGAAGATAGCATAACATTTTGTTCTGTTATACAGAAAGTCATGTGAGTTGGAGCCTATTCAATGGCAACTAATAACAACAATGTATCTATCACCTGATGTTCAAACCACAGAGTGTTTTAGAACTCTTGTTACTAGTTTTCCATAGGTTTTAGTCTAGGTACAATTCAGAGGTATTGTATGTGTGTGTAAAAGAAGTTAGTATATTATGAGGTATTTCAAGCAAATGGAAAATGAATAAGTTATGATAAAAGCCTCTTTCTTTTTTTGAGACAATGACAATATTAGATTTATGCTCTGTTCCATATATAAAAGAAAGCACTAAAAGTTCCTGAACTCTTTATTGCAACTTTACTTACAATAGCAAAACTTTTTGAAAAAACCTATGTGTGCCATAGTGATACTATAACTAAACATTTGGTATACCCATATAATGGTGTAGTTTTAGATATGAATATAAATATACATATTACATGAAATCAGTAAAAGTATTAAAAGTGGCTGTCTCCAGTTTGTGAGGTTGCAGATTATTTCTGTTTTTTTTCTTTTAGATTCTGTATTTCCTAATTGCAAGTGGGGAATGGATGCCAATATGACCTTGTGGGCAGAGCCTATTGGGTCATTTTAGTGTACTGCTATTGCTTCTATCTCTAAATGTGTATAAGAAAGTAATGTTTTATACATTGCAATTCTCTATTCTGTAAGTATGAAGGCAGATTCCCCCAGTCAGGAAGAAAGGCATGTGGAAAAGTGCTATAGGAACATATAAATCACTCCTGCTGCCTTTGGAATGGTCAGGATTAGCATGAGTGCCTCCACATTTTGATGACCAAGGCTTTCACTGTCTGGATGATGTCCTATTGGTTGGCAAATCAGAAGCCTCATTCTCAATACCCCTGACTTTGGAGCTATCACACTTCAGATAAACCTCAGCAAAATCTAGGAGCCCACCTGCAAAGTAGTTTCTTAGGGCTATGAAAGCAGATTGACTGTGCTCAATCCCTCCAGCATGTAAAGAAAACTATTGTTTCTTTAAACCTCACCATCAGAAAGGAGTGGGCTCAGAGTTTTGAAGACAGTATGTGCCTCGCATGAGCTTTCTACTTGGTCCTTTTATCAGGTAATCTGCAGGT